TAACACGGGTGTCGGCATTTTCTTCGACCGGTTGAGCAAGATGGCTCATTTGGCGGCGGTTCCCGACACTATTGACGGGGTCGGTACAGCAACGCTGTTCGTGGATCGTGTTTTCCGACAACACGGACGATCAGATTCGATTGTCTCTGATAGAGACCCCCGTTTCACGGAAAATTTCTGGTCGACTATCTTCAAGGTGCTAGGCATCAAGCTGGATATGTCGCCAGCGGATCATCCGTAGACCCATGGTCAAACCGAAAGATTGAATCGCGTCATCAAAATCGTTCTTCGCAGCGTCTGCGCCGAGACGCCGAGGCTTTGGAGCGTCATGTTGCCACTCGTAGAGTTTGCGCTGAACAAAGCAGTGCATTCGTCTACCGGCTACACGCCGTTCTATGTGAACAGGATGGCTCACCCTCGACGCCGCCATCCCATGGCTCAGGGCTTGGTGGGGGAGGAATAGCCAAACGGCTAGCTGATGTCAGCCCCCTCACCATCCGCATAGAAGTCGATGACGTCTTGTCTACCAGACTGAGTGTCCTACGACACGTTCGCGATGCGATGGCTGAAAGCCAAGACCTGCAGAAACAACATGCAGATGAAAAAGGAAAAGGCAAAGTGGAAAGCTTTTAGGTCGGAGAGCTGGTTTTAATTAAACTCGAAGAGCCTGCCTACATATGCAGCCTCTGCTATCTTCCGGACGAAGCCTCGTCCACGGTTTATTAGACCGTTTAAAGTTGTGGCCAAGCGGGGCCTAGCATATACGCCAAACCTTCCCAAACAGATGCGCACCCACCCAGTGTCTTACGTGGGTTTGCTCAAGCCGTATCGGGATCTGGCGCATGTAAACGCGTAAGCGTTGGGGCCAGAGCGGATTTCACGGACCTTCGGCCACCCAGAAAGTGAACCAACAACTGATTCTGAGCACGGAGTGCAACAACCTCCATCTCCAATAGAGCCAAGCGCTCCACCGTTGCTTGCAGGTATTCGCCTGCTCCACGGCTAGAAGTCGCTCCGACAGTGCGCGGTAGTCCTCAAGGCGAGGCTGCCGGCGCACGACGCTTTTCAAATCATCAAGAGCGTCCGCACAGCGATACGCTGCTTTAGCATGACGCTCAGCGGAGCTCCGATCACGAAGGGTCTCATCCTCAAGGGCTCGAAGAGCATCGCGAGTCACCGGACGGCGGTCGACCCGGTCGTCATTGCCCGCCACCGACTCTTCTCGATAAGAACGGTGACGTCCACTATCACGTGGGTCGTCTAGTGAGACGACTTCGTCACTAGGGTCAGACCCAACATTTGGTGAAGTGGCGGGGATATCCCGACTCCGAAAACTCGTGGGAGCTTGAGACGCCACTTATGTAAGATTGCCCAGATGCCGTAGACGCTTTTGATCAAAGAGATCAGGACGCCCCGTGCTTCTCCGCAATAGCCAGGGAAGTAGAAGGGTCATGAGCTGAGCTCAAGCAATAGCCCTGAACTCTTGCGGTCACAGACATAGAGCTCGCGGGGGCGTTAGGGGTTGACCCATGCGTCGCAGGGCGACAATCGGAATGGGGGTCGACGGCGTGTTTTGAGTTTGGCAAACTCAAATCGGAGGTATCGCTCCACACGCACGTCCACTTCCTTG